ACTTAGTGTCTCTAGTTATTTCTATAGCTCTCTTTTAATTAACTTTGCAGTGTTTCCGTATTTTTTTTGAAATATGTATTCTTGACCAGAGCCAAAGTTTTAGCAGTATCAAGTAAAACCTGGAAAGCAGCATTTCTCTGGTATGTGTGGACACGGCCTGATTAAGATAATCTGTGCTTCTTTAGAAGTACTTTTCAGTGTAGTTCAACTCAGCAATGTGCACAGGCAAGCCTTGCAGAGACGGGGCCAGCCTGGATCACACAGATGCTTTAATGTGAAATGCCTTTCACTAATCCCTCCTTGCAGAACCGCAGCTGAACTAACAGAGGAGCTCTGATCAAGACCTCTATTTCTCATTATTGTGTGATTAAAACCAAACCAACCCTGATTAGACTTGGACAGGTGTACGTAGTCACCACAGCTAGATATTTTGCAGAGAACAAAGGCACTGAGCAGAGTCTGAACGACAATACCTTTCCAGAGATGTGTTTGGATCCCACTGCAAGCCTCAGGCACATCCCCAGGGGCTTGTTGAATGGTTATGGAGAAGTATGTGTCCTGCAAGCTGAGAGCCCGAGGAGCTGGAATGATGGAGGCAAACATTACTACCTGAACCTGAGGCAGCCTGTCCGTTCCCCCCAGGTCCAGGAAAGGATAAATACACCATTCCTTCTTCGGAATAAGCACGGATAGAAAGAAGCAGCCTCCTCCCATGAACTCTTGCAGAAGCTGCTAGATGAAGGAACCTTTCGTAACAGGATCCTTGAAGAGGGATGAGCCAGGACCTTGGGAAGAGGTGGGTGCTGAGCCAGGAATGGTGACCACAGATGATGACATCTACCACGTTATCTCTTGCCTGGAAGTTCTCATGGTGCCTGACTAAAGATGATGCTTGAAAGTAAGATGATTGCTGGCTTTCTAAAGATTTGTTCTGGCCTGGTCTAGTGCCATTTCACCTTTCTGCAGATGCCTTGCCTCTCAGGAAGAGCAAACTGTAGATGAAGGATGACACAATGAACATTTTGCAGAATCAGGTAGTTTCTCTGGTGTTTACTCCAGCTTCTTTTCTTAGGCTTTCCTGGGGATGGTGTCTGTAAAATACATGTGCTATAGGGGTCTTCATCCTGAGTTACCTCAGTGTAGCCTTTGAATCGCTGAGGCAATGGCTTATGCATCAGAGTACAGGAAAGTTCTGTGATTTTAAATGAGAAATCACCTACAGTTACTTGCATGTTTTTCAGAATACGAGCTGCTTGCACTCAACTGGCACGTTGTTCGGTAATAACCGTGACCAAGGATCGTCCCTAATGGCTGAAATAGCCTATCTTGACATTTTTGTTGCCATCTGGTCTTCTTGATGATCTCTCTCAGCTCCCTTCTACAGATGTGTGAGGCCTGCGTTAGCAAATGATAACTGAATCTCACGAGGAACTTTTTAAGTGAGTCCTGGTAGTTGACAATTTCGGGGTGTGTAGAGGCAGACGACACGCAATATGTCCAAGCAGGTCTGATTTATCAAAGTCTGTATTTATAAATTATTTTTGGTCTACCTGATCTTGTCTTGGACAACAGAGAGCAACAGAGACCTTGCTCCTTTATAAATAAAAAAACGCTCCAAGCCAAAGGGTGTTGCTGATTCTAAAGCCCCATTGCTGATTCTATCATGTGCTCATTAGTCTAAATACTAACCTTGGTAGCACTGTTGAAAAGCTATTTATGTTTCCCTTGATCCCTGTAGTTTCTATATCCAGTATTTCTGGGATTCTTGTGATCAAATCCAGATCTATGCATATCCTTGCCCACATCACAGAAGAGGAAGATTTCTTTAGTTGTATGCCTTTGGGACAGTCTCGGCTTGTAAGAAGTATGTGGATCCCTGCAATTCACACAGGCAGAAGAATACAGATCTGGAAAATCAAAATGGTCTCAGATTTGACTATTACGTGCAATTCTGGACATCCCACATCCCAAAGAAATGTTAAAAGGAGAAGAGTACTGATAAGGACAACGAGTCGAGTTACAGGTTACCTTCTGTGCAAGGAAGAATTAAGTAGACAAGGACTCTTAGCCTAGAAGCAGGTGGGATCTAAACAATCTTCAATGGCACGGAGAAGGAGAACAGGTGAATGTTCCAATAAAAATGGAAGAGTTGTCTTAAACAGATCATAATTGAATTGTAGGACTCACTTGTGGATGCTGGATTTATGAAGCAGTGGTCGCTATGTATACTGCAGATGAGGAAGTAAACTGATGAGCGCTGCAGGATGGGAGCAAGTGCTAAAACCAAGAGCAAAATTTGTCTTACGGACATGACTCAATGACTTACCGCTTATAATCTGACCTAAGCATCTGCTATGTGTCATCGTGGGTGACAGGATACAGTATCAGCATGAATTCTTGTACCCTTAAAACCTTGACAATGTAGAGGTTTTGTCATAATCTAATTACTGTTACCTTCAACACTACTTTACCTACTAATACCTACTTACCCTAAGCTGTTGATTTTGTTTCCCTTCATTATCCCATATAAAAGTGCTGTTCCACTATTCCTTATCTCAACAGTGAGGTCATAAGGTCTGTGTGGCCAAGAAAACAAGTAGAAGGGTCAGACAGTAACAGCCAGCTCTCCTCTTATTTTGGATTAGTGCTTGATATGGTATTTTCCTAGCATTTTCCGTGGCATCCCCCTGCTCAAATGAAGGGACTGGGTAGGCTAGGCTCTGCCCACAGAGGAACAGAAGCACAGCTGGCAGATGATGATGTGAAAGACATATCCTGAATGAGTTTCTGGATGTTGACATGAAAAAAAAAAAAAAAAGTTTTCTTAGGTAAAAGTACCTTAGGATCAATGCTGTTACTTGGCAATAAAGCCAGTACTGGTAGCTTCTCATTTGCTCTTTTAGGAATAAAGACTTTGTTCCTGTGTGCTTGAACTAACAGGCAACTGAAAACCGTATCTGTGGAGGATTGCTTCACGTCCTCCATCGGAGACCGTCCTCCAGAACATTCAGTGCTAAGCTTGTATTTTGCACAAGTTTGACTCCTGATATTTTGCAAAGCAAGAAACCCTGAGATGCTTACTGTGGATAAAGTTTGCTGCCCTCTTCTTCCAGATCAGACATGATTTTTATAGATAACACAGTAGACACGATCTGAGAAAGAAAGAAATCTCCAAATGGAAAGAAGCAAAGGAATGAATAGTTCCTCAGACCTCGTTATTCCACGAGACAAAAAGGCACCTATCGCACCCACTGACCAGCACAGAAACTCATCAGGTACTGGGAAGAGGTGAGACGGTGGTGAGCCAGAACGCAACAGGATGGCATCAGGAAGCTCCCCCTACCAGAGAGGTGAGGTGGTCTTGATGAGTGTGGAATGAAGAGATTTTTAAAATGTGAATTATCCGGTTTGGATGAAGAAAACAGGAAAAGGTGGTTAAACAAAGAAGTAGAAACTAAGGAACCGGGTGATCACTACCCACATTAACTGTTGTTCTGGAGTCAGAACCACCAGAGGGTTGTACATTCCATTCTGTAAGACCTTTTACACAAGATAATGAAGGGGCTGCAGGAGACCCTGGCAGACACTGACACTCAGGAAATGTTCCAAGCTTGTGCATCCACAGGACGTGCGTGTCTAAAGCAGGATCTTCTCTGATGGAGATTTGAAGGCGATTGTTGTCTGCGCTATGGCGAACAAACTTGGGCCCCAAACACAAGTTAAAAGCAGAGACAATGCAAAAGACCTTGCCCACAAAGTTGCTTCCAACACAATAAATGAGATGTTATGGGTCATGCTGGTTAGGGACTGCCTACAGGAATCCTCTGTAATGCACTGGCTTTGGGAGTTGTCTGCTCTCTCAGCCTCTTTGCTTCTCATTCAGCAAAAGGTGTATGGCAGAGAATCGTAGAACAGCCCAGGTCGGAAGGGACCTCACAAGATCACCTGGTTCAACCTTTCATGGGAAAGGGAGCCTAGATAAGATTATCTAACACCTTGCCCAAGTACATCTTGAAAACCTCCAGTGATGGGGACTTGACTACAACTCATATGCAAAGTCATACAGTACATTGCATGTTGTGTAGCGTTTGTAGACACTACATGGAATGATTTACAGATAGAGCTTAAAATAATTTTATCATAGCCAGTTCAAACCTGCATAGATAGCTAGCTTACATTGTCAAGGAAAGTACGTGGATCTCTGCTTAGTCCTGCGTGAAGGACTGCTGCTGAAATGAGGGATCTGGCTTGCCTCCTGTGTACCACCTTGTCACTAAAATAGTGACAGTTTGGCTTCTCATTCCCTGCAGGGAACATTTATTCATTCACAGTTTTGGACAAGTGAAGTCGCCAGTGAAACACCTTGCTAGTCTCCCTAACATACCTTAACAAGAAAGAAAAACACAAATACATTTTGTGATTCAGCTAGTTTTTAGAATGTTTACATACGTACATCCATACAATGATTTACATATATATAACTAAGTAAATGTAAACCCAAATTCAACTTAAACCTAAATGCCTCTAGTTGACACGGGCAACTCGGAAGAACTCTGGCAGCTCGGCTTTGTGTGGTGTGGAGAACAACTGTGAACAGCGGCAACGAGTGTACTCGTTATGCGGAATGTCTCCGGCAGAGCAGAACCACTCTCCTTTGTAAGCAGAGGAGCCTATGGTACAACAAAACCAGCCTTTCTCAGAACAGCTTTGGAAGTAATGCACTATTTAAAAAGAAAAGCAAAAATCTATTTAGCGCTCTTTAGATATTTCTTCAGTCACACCCATGTAATAATGTCTACTCCAATAACAGAAAATCACTCTTCAGAGAGAACAAAATGAAGCACTGCAAACAATTGTTATTATTATGAATGCTGCATACACACTCCGAAGTGGCAACGTTGTCTGAAATATATCAGAAGAGTCCTAGGGATACAAAATCCATACTTTGTGGTTTTTTACCTCTCACAGTAATAAACACCAATATTGCAGGACACACATACCTTTTTGTTGGCGTAGGGGCTCCAGAGGACATGTGGGTCACCATGGTGTCATTCATGTTAGTCAGAGGCCGAGGAGGACTAGAATAGAAATATTTATTCCAGTTAGTGATCGAAAAACCAAAAGGGAAACAAAAGCAACACCAGGGAAAAGGACTTCACTGTGCCCTGTGACAACATCAGGTCAAAGAGCAGCAGCAGAAATTTGTTTGCACAGATACTTGAAGAGCTTGGTCTACTCTAATTATTTTTCACAATTCATGTGTTACACTAAAATGAAGATAAAACTAACGTTTGTGATCACATAACTGACCTCTGGCATTGTCTCGTAGTTCAAGCAAATGTAGGAACCATTCAAATTAGGGCAATTATTTGAAACGTTTAAAGAAATTAAGCAAAGATTTACTATAAGAAGCGTTTATACAACAACCACATAGACCATCTGTTTGGGGTTTATTTTAATAAGTTAAAGTTAGTTGTAAAAAACCAAATGGATATAGCCTCGTGTTCCTTACTGCCCTATAAAATACAACCATGGACTGACGCTCCCGTGATTTGCACTTTTAAGCCCTGGAAGTTGCCCAGTGCTGCCCTGCCACGGCCACCCAGGCTGCGGTGAGGACACGAGGAGCCCACACGGGACGTCCCCAGACCGCTCTGCCGGGAAATTCAGGCCCCTGGGAGAGAAGAACCACAGCAGCTGCTATCACAGAATCAATATTTGCCTGCGTTTACCCTCCAGTGATATCCAAATACATCCATCATCCTTTAAGACGAGACTTGCCCAAACGCGCAGGGCTGTCAGTGCACAGATAAAAGCTCAATTTGCACATTAGACGGCGCAGGGCTCGTGCAGATCGTAACGGGGAGAAGCGCTGCGCTTTCTCGGAACGTGGATTAAAATCTTCACGGGTTTGTATCTGCCATCATCTCAGCCTTCCCTTTCAGTTAGATTTATCGCAGATAACACCGATATTAATTCCTGCCAACTTCAGTTTTCTGCAGCAGGAGGGTGCTTTTCCCCTCCCAGCCGTCCCAGTGCAGAAACAGGGAGCTCGCCCCTCTGCCCCGTGTGTGACCCCCAGGGACCGCCGCACGACCCATCAGCCTATTGCAATCAACAACTTTCAGAGCCCAGTAATCCAGAGAATCAAACAACCGCTAATAAAAAAAGCACCTGGATGTCAAACATATAAAATCAGAAAGAATATAGTCCCTGCATGTCTTACTGCGTTCCTTGAATCGCTGCGAAAGCACCTCAGTTCCCAGTCCTTGCTCGGCACAGATTTGCCCAGAAATAATCATGCTGCACGTTTTAATGTTAATGTTGCTCTAAATATAACATTATACCAAGAAACGGTTTGGTCATAAGATATTTACTGAATGTGCTCCTTTGGAAAAGGAACTTCTTGCTGTACAAAAAAGCAGAAATAGGATTGTAAAGCACTGGAAAGCTGACAGACGTGCCACACTGCAGTGCATTTGGAAGCCATTAATTTTGCTAGTGGACGTACAAATACATCCTGTGGGAAAGGGCAGTTCATTAACCGTGCTTCCCCTCTGCCCCTTCATCTCCCTACTTACTTCTTCCTGACCGGAGGCGAGGAATGCTCTGTCCGCACCTACACATCAAATCTCTCCTTTTTTCCTAAAGATTCGCTTATCAGCTTTGCGTTCTCCTGCCACGCACACCATAAAACCATACGGGCAGCTGTGGGAGAAACAGCTGCAACAAGCAGCAGCTTTTGCAACCAAAACTGGATTTTTCAGCAACAAACTTGTTTCACGGTTTCCGTGAGCCCTGGCTGGGTTTTCCCTTTTGCGAGGGACAAGCGGTTTCCTTCCGCACCGTGCCCTGAGAGGCCACAAGCGCCACCTCAGGATTCCTCATACCTTTTGGGTAAGTGAATTTATCCCCGGCTGCGCGGGGGGGTGGAGGGGAGAGACCCGCGAGGACGGCGCACCCGCGCGCACTGTCCACGGGCCGTACCCGGCAGCACGGGGCTGCACGGAATTCGTCTTACCCGAAGTAACAAACTGTACCCAAGGGCACATTCGTCCCACAGAAGCTCACCTACCGGGGCCTACTACTCTGAGCGAAGGGCACTTCTTCATTTTATTACAATATTGCTTCTGTACGACTCTTCTAATAAGAAAGAGGATGTCATTCACCTTTTGCAGTCTGGTTTGAGTGTCATTATGAGGCATTTCCACAAGTTCATTCCAGTTCTGTCAATACCACTGTCCTCAATTTTCCAGCTAAATCCTTGCTAACGGTGATAAAAGCAAGGAAAGAAAATTAAATACATACATCTGGTTAAAAGATTTCTAATAGCACGATTTTGTGTTCTTTATTAGGGACAATAAAGCCTTTCCCAGTCCAGAGAATTTCCCGAGGCCAGGAATATTTTTTCAAAAAACTGTAACTCCGTCAAGATGGCACTATATTTTCCTGTTTAATGGTGACAGAAAAATTGTGCTGTTCGTGAAAGCAGGAGGATGCTGTAACCATGCACACAACACCACTGGAGCAATAAGAGCTGCTTTTATGAGCCTGGGACTTTCAGTGCAGGTCAAGCTTGCTTCACCAAAACTTCTAGTTTAAAAGGAACATAACCGAATTCCCCTTCCGAGATGTTCATCATAGCTGGCATCTGCTACAGCCTATCAACATAACAGAAAAAAGAAGACAAATATTCTTGAATCAGCTACCGAGGAGAGATTTTTCTGCCTTGATAATCTCACCAGAAAATGTAACTACCCAGACACCTGAGACAGGAGAAATCCCCAAACCATCACTGGCAGAGAAACTCAGAAGATGCACTCGGAAGTAACTCCTCTCCCGCCCACAATCCAGTTGAGATATTAAAACAACTAAGTGGTTTCAGTGTATATCAAGGACATCTTACAGCTTACAATCTTCTTTCAAAACTTCTCTTTTGTTAGGCTAAACTTTTCAGGTTTAACTTATTTGGTATTTAAGGTGTATTTAATCAGCATAGGGTGCTCTTGGGAAGAAAAGTGTCTAAAAATAAACACTGAAATAAGAGAAATCTTTCAGATACCTGGGAGCTGGGACAAACGTGGCAGCCATAGAAGCTGAGAAATCAAACTCCTTAAATTCTCTTTTTTCACGGTGCTTAGAAAAAGTGACATTAGCCAAGCAGCGGGGAGGTCAGAGATCAGCCTGTGCCAGAAGGCATAAATCAAGGCACCGGCAATCTTTATCTTGACAATTGTCCTGGGGAGCAGCAGCTAACGGCGGGGGTGCTCCGTTGCCAGGGATATGTAGAAGACAACTCCCAGCTTTGGGTACGTCTGTTCTCGTGGTCTCCTTGGCTTTGGCTGATGCAGGCGCTAGCGAGGGACTCTACGCCTCCAGGTACCGAAGCATCGTGCGGCAGATGCGATCATCAGAACACCAATAGATAATAGAGGTTTGTGGAGGGCTTGAAAACAGGGATCATGAGAGCCCTCTGCATTCAGCACAGATTTGTGAAGGAAGGAATAAAGACTTGAAAGAACAATGCTGGTATGCCATCACTTAGGAGCCATCTTAAACAACCTACTCACCCACATGCTCGTTTTCTTACACACATGTCATAAAGTTAATTCTGGAACTAAAATACCTTAAATGGTCCTTATAGAAGGTATCACGAGTTTGAGCTTTCCAGCCCTAGCACTTGTTTACCTTCCTTTATTTTTTCAAAATATATTTATGTACGAGTATTACCTCTGTCTCCTCTGTCATCACCAACTGCCTCTCTAAGTGTCCAGTTTTGGCTACGACTGGAAACAAGATACTGGACTAGGCAGATTTTTGGCCTAACCCTGGCTGGATGATATGCTGTTCTTAGATTTCCCCATCATCTTCCTAAACATGTCAACAAGCTTCTATGGGTAATTGCCATAATTCTAATAAAATCAGCAAAGGTCTTGACTTCTCTCTATTTACTATTATTAGCTACTGTCTCCTACCTGTAGTAAAGCCTATGAGATCCAGATGTAACAGAAGTTGCTGTCACATCTATTCTCAGTAATCTTGTCTAAAAATGAGAGATAAGAAATAGATTAGTCACTGCTATTTTGTGTCAACAGTTTTCCTAAGTAGGAAGATCAAGCTTTACGCATTCTGAATAAAAGCACAATTAAGTTTAGGTCTAATTACTTGCTTGTCTTCTTTCAGCCTTGGTTGATGAAGGTCCAGAACAAAACCAGGACAATTCTGAGACTTCAGAAGTCTAAAACCTCAGTAAATAAAATGAACTAAATCTTGAGGCTTTTTGCTGTGCTGGACAATCACCCTGTAAAGGGACCTTTACAAAAAGGCAACAGTAAATAAGATTTACCAAACTGCCTTCCACTCTAAACAGTTCTATCTGAGATTGCTGACGTGCAGCAAAGTAACATTATTTATTGGCTTCCATCAGAGCACAGAGACTTGGAAAATGCAAAGCTTAGGAAAAGCAAGCAATACTTGAGGGTTAAGAGCTGTCACAGCAGCCGATTAAGAAAAAAAACCAAAAAACAAAACAAAACAAAAAAAAAAACAAACAAACAAAAAAAACATAAAAAAAAAAGAATAATAAATAAATACATAAATAAAAGAAATAATGCTCTGTCACTCAGATCTGGAACTGATAACTCTGAAGGTGAAGACTGACACCTGAAATTCCAAAATTTGAAAAATTTCACTGGCCCTGAGTAAGGACAATCAGGCAGGGGCTGCAGGGTCCCCAGCCAGGTAAGGATTTCAAGCAGCGTATATTAAAAGTGTATCCATGTCAAAAGTGTATCTGATAACATTTCCTGCCTTTTTTCAGTGCTTTGTGTGAATATCACGTATTAAAAAAAAAGACAGTATTTTTCAGGTGCACTGATAAGCACTGTAATAAACGTCAGTATCTGCTTAATTACCACATAATAATGCCTGGAATTAAGCTATGGATAACTGCATGCTATACGTCAGTCTCTTTTGTTACTTTTTCTACAATTATAGCTATTGTATTTACACAGCTACAAACTGAACAGCTAGGTATTTACTAATGTTAAAACTTCTCTATAAGCTGAGAATTTCTAAA